CCTAAGGTCTTGTTCACCTCTGTGACTAAACCCACAGAGAATATATAAGGAATGTGTTCTCTGAACCCTCTTTGGCACAGCCCAAATGCATCTCTAACAATTTGTACATAAAGATGAGATGTTATTTAAACTATGTGTCCTCTGGAATCCTTGAGAAACAGACTCTATCACTATGACAAAACACAGCTGCCTGCTGGCTCTGGGATCCACTGGCCTCATGAGTCATGGTTAAAAATAACAGTTTGCAAACACATTTGTAAACAGCTCGATTGTGTTTTTTCTCCATCACTGCCCTCAGCATGTCTGAAGACGCAACACTTGAACAGTCAGTGTGGCAAAAAAAAAGACGAGATATAATTCTGTTATCGAAGAAGCTCAAGATTCGTGTACTGGTGTTTTATGTTTACTACATTTTGTACACATTGGTGAATAAATATATTGTTGTTGTTTTTGTTGTTTTTTTACTTTATCAATGTTTCTGAGATTCAGAATTTAAATCCAACTCTACGCCTGATGGGGATGGCACAGGGTTAAACTGCAGAAATTGCAATTGCAATTTCAAAACTGCAGATATGCAGATCTACAGGCAAGAATCACTGTGTTCTCTATGGATGTCATACCTTTGCCTTGCCCAAAGCATTCAAGAACACTGTTGCAAACACTAAGAAGGTGGAACACCACAGTACCACGTCAAACACTCTAACAGTGTCTTGTACAGGGCAGAGAGTTGCTCACTGAGAAACTGGGGGGGGCAGTGTTTCGGGGGTACTCACAGGGAGGTGCAACAAAGCCTTGGCATCGCCTTTCTTCATGCTGTGCCCCTCTAGGGGCACAAACTCAATCCTGCTGCTCTGGGCAAAGAGCAGGTGGGTTCCAGGAGGCAAAGGATGAACATCGGGCCTGGGCGTCGGCCCCAGGGGGGGCGATGGGGTGCCTGGGAGGTGGGGGGACGCAGAGCGAGAGATTAGGGACAAGTGAAGTCAGGTCTTGGCGTCTTACGCCGGTACAAAAGAAAAAATGACAGGTATGCGCTGCAGATCAACCTCATTTTAGAACCTCTTTTATTTTAACTTAAAAAAATAAAACACCAGAGAAGTTGCTGTGAGTCTGTGTTCTTTTTAAAAAAAAAATAAAGCTTAAAGACACGGTCAAGTCTGGTAACTGTTTGAAAAAGGTACGCACAACTACGCACAGTTTTCTGGTTGTAGTTCATCTGCTTTGTCTTGAGCAATCTTCACATTAGCTTCCACGATTCACGGTGCTTGATTACCATCTCTACAGCACTTTTGGAACTAAATCCGAAATCGGATAGCCTCCAAATTCCCAGATAAACATAACCTTAAAAATATGTTTCCTTTCAACAACAAGAGGACAGCTTGAATCCTGGGACAACTGTAATGCTTATAAGGAAGTCTGAAGGGAAATGACCTTGCAGAAAATTAACCAATTAGGTCTACAGACAGAACAGGCCCCAGACGTGATTTTATTTAACACATCGTTGGATATAAGGTTTTGCTTTCTCTGTGCATGGATGTGTGCTCATTAAATATCTAAAATACAGATTTACAAGTTACACAGTAGAGCTAAAAAACACATAATCTTTACAAAAAGAACAATTTTACAGCAGTTGCTAGTTTGTCACTCTATGAGCCAGCTGACAGAAGAAAATTGTCACATATAAAAGGGGAACCGCAGTCCTAATTTCTCAGACTGGTTATGAACTCTCCCCAAAAAATTCATTGATAGTAGAGAAAAATCTTACGGATTTCGAATTAAGCACAAAATCGTGCACTTTGTGAAAGTACTGTAACGCTTACGGCCGACAGGCACTGTGTAAGAGCCGGCGTACCAGAGCAGGTGACGTCACCGCCCTTCCCTGTGATAGCAGGACTACAGCTACTGGGCTGTAAAGAGATCTCTCTTTGGTTCACCGGGCTGGGTCCCTGCAGAGTGACGAGGGAGTCCCGGGTTTGAGCCCTCGACAGTGGGGGGCTGACCTAATGCGGCAAGGGCGCCCACCTGAGCCCCCGTTGCGTTACAGTACTGTAAGACCATGGTGTCGCAAACCCCTGGTCCGGCAACAGGCGTGGAGAGTTTATACAAATTACGACGTGAAGCGGCCCTTCCTGCTCGCTAGTCACTGAAATGACTTATGTACTGGGTTGTACGAGTGAATAAGTACAAGCTGTGCAGCACACATTTCATTACATAAATGTTCCAACGTGCTCTCCATGCAGAGTTAACAAGTAGTATTTGTTAGCAAAACCATCTCGAATCTTGGAGATTTTACAAGTCACCGTGAACATTTTACTTTCGTTGTGGTTTGAAATGCCCTCATTAACATTGATTCTTCCTAACCCAGTTGCAGGGAGTTCCGAAAGTGGGTGTAGCACCTGGTTATCTAATGCAATCTCTCTGAATTTGGATTTTGGACATATTTGAAATGACACAATTTGTATGAAAGAGTACTTGGGGTAAATGCACAGGAATTTACAAATGGATGGAGGAACTGCTTTGCTCAGTCCGAGTTGTTCAGCTGAGCGGGAATGGACTGGTTTGGGCTCGACGGTGCGTCATGTCTAATCCCAGCCCCCCCCGTCACTCACATGTGGGCGTGGCCCCGGGCCCGGCTCTCGTCCCCGGGATCTCGTCCCCGTGCCGGTTCACGCACCAGCAGTGGCCCGTGCTGCCGTGGCACTGCAGCGGGGTGTAGTTGCCCAGGGAGTCGCAGGTGGGGATGTACTGGCCGGGCACGGGACGGGGCCCCCGCGGGCCGAAGGCGGAGGAGGAGGAGCCCAGGAGGCGGTCCCGTTCGCGCTCGCACCGCGTCTTCTCGGGCACTGCAAGGAGGATGGGGAGGGGGGCGGTCAATTCAACAGCCCCGCGCGGGGACACCCCCACCGACACGAGAGCAATCTCCTTCCGCACCTGCAGCGACATGAGCAGGACCCACTTTCCAAACACGTCGGGGGAGAAGAGAGCGGTTTCACGGGAGGAAAACTGGCATTTAACCTCCTGTGAATCATCGATACCAGCTTCTCATCATCCTTTGGCCAAATGTTTACCTCCCCCCTGTTTTTAATGGACTGTATATCCCGTTATCAAACATCTTGTTTACAGCACTGCATTTAGAAAAATGTTAACTCTGGCATTTCTGCTTTTACCTGTTGCATCATGAATTTATGTAAAAACCTTTAGAATATTAACGGTCCCATAAAATATTCTGCAATACATAAAAATTTGAATGATTTTTATACAAGAGGTCGAACCGTTCATGATTACTGAGAAATGAATCTTATCGAAAACTGTGCAATTCTGCTGTGTCCCTGGGCTCCTCACAGTTAACACAGTTACGTTAAACCCGACGTGTCGACTGTGCAGCCTTCTTCGAAGAAGGCTCCACAGCCGAAACGTTGTGTTTCTTTTCTTGTTTTTTCAGCGTGGAATAAACCTTTACTTGTTCCTTTGTAGCCTACACATGCTGACTCAAATAGCTACCTCCTTGAACTATTATGTTAAACTTCACTTATCCTTGTTAAGTTCCTATAGACCATCCCTAAACTAGTGCTTTGTAAGAGTGCTAGTAAAAAATGTGTATTTATTTTTCTTTTGTAGGTATGGCAGCTCATTTGCATGAACCAGTTTTCCAGCATCGAACGTGTGGTTCAGACAGAGCAGAGACCTTGCCCCCAACACTGAGGAGCATCGGAAAAAAAAACGTGGTTTCCCAGCCTGTTATGGGGAACAATTCGACCAACTGCAAAGATTTCCGCTCGAGACAGAACTCTGCTGGGGGCTTCTGCATTTCCAGCAGCCCACATACGAGTCATAACAAAATGCCTGCCTTCCCACAAACAAGAAAGGCAAAGAATAATAACCAAAACCCCACCCTTTCACACAGGCTGACAGAAATATCCTGTAAAAAAGCTGATAATATCGATCAATCAGCCTTGTTTGTGTAGATTACGTTGATTAGTGGTGGGAGTTCCTGAGTTCACTCATAGAACCTAGTCACACCTACTATGCTTTGAGCAACACCATTAGGGCTTCTCAGTACTATTCTGAGGTAAGGACAGGAGAACAGTTAAAAAAAGAGAGGAGGCTGGTCCAATTAGTAGTTAGTAGTTAATTTATCCAAGTATGTCTTCCAGCTGTTTCTTGAAAGAAACCAGGTATCGGCCTCAACAGCATGGCTGGGTAGCTTGTTCCCCACTCCCATTACCCTAGAAACCACAAAGATAAGCTCTTCTTTCACAAGAAAAAGAAGACAGGGAGGCACATCCATGAAGCTTCTATATACATAAGAATACACATTTTTCCACTTGTTTTGGTACACCATGCTAAAAACAAGCAGGCACAAAGCGTTCCTAGAGAACAACATCTTAAAGGAGGAGCCTACACTGCAGACTGGAAGCGGTAGCCTGCTTCACATTCAATTGTGTACTCCTTTGTCTCAGTCCTCAGAAAAACACACAAGCCCACCACAACAAAACTGGAGCACAATGGGAAAATCTCAAAGTGAGCAAACCCATGGTTAACCATGTAGATTATACAAGATGAGGAAAAGCCTGGCTAAGCAAAGCCTTATTTTAGCAGGAAGAAGTTTAGAATAGTTTTGTTGAACCTGAATATCTAGGGTCATTTTAGTACTTCACTGAGACTTGGGAGATTGTAAGGCAAAAAAAAAAAACTGATTAAAGATTGTTAAAATCTAGTGAAGTTAAGTGGATATTGTCAAATCAGCCAGGAGCCAAGAGATAACCATCAGTTTTGAATGAGTGTTTCTGCTTGAGGGCTGAGAGATTAAGATTATGAAGAAAGTACAACAGATGTTTACAGATGTTTACAGCCTTAACTCATGATACAGATTAGTGACTGATAATACATTGGTGACCTAAATGCTAATTCTTGGTGTGGAAACCAACCCATGGTTTGCCTCTTAAGGCAGAGAATTCGGTCAAGCTACAGCCAGCAATAAAGGCCCTTGTTCTGAGTCTCCTACACACAGCCTAGTGAGGGGGTGCCAAGGTCAGACATCTGCTTCTCGTCCAGCTGGAAAATGAAGCACTAGAAAGCTACAGGCTGGAGAAAACCGATGAGCGCAATCAGTCGGTATTCTGTACACTCTTGCGCGTGGACAACCACACGCGTGTGCCAGAAGTCTTCATGCTTAGGTGGTCAAGATTAGGGGAAGATTTTCATCAACCCGACACTGTAAAGTTGCACGGTGACATCAAATAAAAACGCCAAGAAGAATGGAGCAAATGTACTGACAATGCCACCTTTCACAAGCCAAAATCGCAGTGCTGCACTGTGGGATCAGACAGCTAGTGTTCTCTGTTCGGTTTGCCCCACAAAGCATTTCGCATGCTCAAGCTGTGCCTCAGGAAAGTTCACCATTGTACTGTAGATTCCCCACTCCTACAGTATACAGAGCTGCTGTTTCTCACATGTTCGTATCATGCTTTTCCACAGCCTCGTATACCCGTATACCTTACCATGCTTTTACCACCTATTTAATTCCTTCCGCATTCACTGCCTTATATCATAGTGAGCTTATATAAAAGTTGTTTAGTGGTAAAGCACAGCTTGGAAACTTGTGATGAAACAACTCTCTGAGCAAGGCGTCAGTAAGCTTGACTTTGCTACATTATCCAGCAGACTCTTGGAGAAACAAATCCTGTTTACGTGGAATTTTCAGATGCATATACAGTATAATGACTACAATTTACCAAAACAGAAGATTATCCGCCCTCAAAAAAGAGATTTTTATCTATAACAATGTCTTGCTTTCCTGTCTCAGACACTTGAATTAAGAACAGAAATGGTGTAGCTCTACTCCGGCCTGCAGGTCCACAGTAGCTTTTCTTATAAAAAAAACAAAGTTTGTTAGAGTTGAGTCTGTTAATTAGCTTAGCTTTAGTGCACATTTGTGCTTCACATCAGACACAGCAGTTCAGCACAAGTATGTCAGACTCTGGGGCAACAGAATCACATCTGGTTTTCATTCCCCAGAAGGCTCGCACTAAATAAGTAATGCAGTTTTGGTTCAAAATGGCTCAACTGGTAATATCTTCTTTTCAAGGTTATTTTTTTGCACAATTGAAGACTAAAACAATTCCCTACATTAAAACTGCATTAGTCCTAGAACATTTGGAATGCATGGTTTAGCACCATGACCTTCATCACAGTAAATATTGTTCAACTGTAAAACAGGTTGCCTAAAACGTTGATGGTTCAGACCTGTTTACTGTATTATGAAAACCACCTACAGTGGAACAATGACGTCTTGTATACATACCGATACAAATGAGATTATGGGGAATGTGTTTCCGTAGGCAATGACTGTGCACATTCGTGTCCATGATGGCTTGCACACACAAACACATGGTAAATGTGGCATGAAGCTGTTCATTACCCATGGTCATTCTTGTACACTGTATTCCCATGGGTAGATACTCCATAGTGCTCTTTTTTTATTATATAGTCATTTGTCGAAGGTCAACCGACTTTATAAGCAGCCAGTACATAAAAAAATAAAATATGGATCTCATGTCATGCGTAAACACTTCTACTTTAGCAATACCTGTAATTTATATTAAAGTTACCACATACGCAAAATTACATACACATTCTACACAGTACATAGCAAGATGGAAAACAGGAAGGGATGCTTACCTGCTATATCAGGGGTGCATTGACTCCCATCTCCATAGAAACCCGGCCTACACTGACATCTGTACGAGCCTGGAGTGTTGTAACAATCAGCATTTGGGTGGCATCTGCCTGGCTGGCATTCATCAATATCTGTGAGCAAACAGAAAAGGAAACTGTCCATGATCTCTCCTCCTGTGTGTCAAGCACACAGGACCACAAAGGCACGACACCAGAATTACTTGGCCATGAAACTTGCTTTTCATACAACCTTAAATTAAATCTTAAAACACACATTTAATGTATTTGGTTTTAGAGTTTCAGGAGGGGACTGAAATTAAGATGAAGGACAAAGGTATACTTGCATTCCTGTAGACTTTTGTGTTATTTGGTGGAAACTGAAATGGTCTCTTATGGAGGCAACTGTAGCAAAATCCAGGGTTGTTTTGAATAAGAGTATGGATGTTTACTGCATGTATTTAAAACACAATCAAAGATCTTACAGTAAAACAAAGCACAGCTCGAGAAAACGTACAGAGATCATTTACACCAGCTGGCTAATGCAGGTCTCAAACTGAATGACGAGGTGGAAGAAAAACACAAACTGAGTTTCCTGAGCTCCAGGCGGCAGCTGGCCCTGTACAATAATTATTGAGGCAAGTGCTGGAGACACTGCCAATGGAATCTGCAGATGTTTAACAAGTTATCTCCTTCCTGCCTCATACTGTCAGCCACACTCCTTCGTCAGGACAGTTAACCCTTTTCAGAGGCCCAGTGAAGCTCAGCTTCTCCCAACATGGAGACCCTCTTGACGACAGCTGCCTTTCCTTCCAGCCTGTCTCTTGGGAACCCACCCAGGCAGGGGGTTCGTTTTAATGCACCAGACGAGTCCGCATGTGCTGCTCAAATGGAGCCAATCACATTGCCACCTGAGCTGGAAACAAAATGGGACTGGAGACCCTGGTTTCATTCATCTTCGGGGCTTTGGTGCACACAAAGAGGCAACTGTTTGACAACTATAAAATATTTGAACTCTAAAATGGCCCAGTCTTCAAAAATGAAAAACTATATGACCCAAGTTTTCTAAGCCCAATGACTTTTTAACATGATTGGTGTTGATTTAACGAGAGCGTTAATTCTATTGTCAGTGCCTGTGATCATTCATCACAGTATTTATCAGAGTACCTGAAGCGCAAAGTAATCATCCTAAAAGCCTTTTTATTTCATGCTACCCAAATGCAAAATTAACGCTTTGTGAGTTAGACCTGTATTCGAAGACTATGCCAGATTAAGTTGAGAAACTCTTTTGAAATAGGCCTGGGTTTATCTACTAATGGCGTGACACATGCAATTCGCTACTGAGATTCTGACGCTGTCTCCCATTCAGGCATGCCGTTAACGTTTGACTCTGGAGCCTGGAAGAACTTAATCTATAATGTTCTGCTTCGAGCTGAAGCTGTGTGACCTTATAAGGTACTTTAATGGAGTACAACACTGTGAGAGAGAGGAAAGAAGGGAGCATATTCAGTCTGCTATCAGAGGTACTGTGGAGATTAATAGAGACACAGAACAAGACAAGAGAGCAATAACAGAACACAGGCAATGTACAGCAAGAAGCTTTAGAGACTCATCATCATCATGTCTGTCTAAACCTAAAGAATCCCCCCCCC